GCATGTACAAGAGCAGTACAAGTTTAGCCCCCCCCCCCAAAAAAAAAAATCTCAGCATGGAGAAGGGGAAATGGGCACAAAGTCCCACTGCTAACTAAGAAGCTATTTCACAGTTGATACCTGCTGGGAGAATCAGTCCATTAAAGAAAACTGGTTTTTCTCCATGAACACTGGGTACATCATCTACACTCCAAAGGCCCATGCATAGGAGTAGTTGGTCAAAATTAAATAGGCTCCATGTTTTGTTTTTGTTTTTGTTTTGTGTGTATGTGTGTGTGTGTGTGTGTGCGCGTGTGTGTGTATGTGCTCTTTTGCTTGTTTTGTTTTGATGGTTTTTTTTTGTCTTTTTGTCTGTTTGTTTTATTTTCTGTTTTGAAGGAGAGAAATAACATGAAGTTTGGTAGACAGGGAGGTTAGGGGGATCTAGGAAAAGTTAGGGGAGGGGAAGAATATGCTCAGAATATATTGTAGGATAAGTTTAAAATATATATTCTCTTAAAATAGCAAAAAAATTAAAATAAAGTAAAAAATGAAAGTAAAAGAGAAAAAGAAGAGCATAAGGTTGGGGTGAGATGTGTTGGGATGTTTCCAGGTGCAGCTGGGATGAGGGAGGTAGAAGTGGACCTGATCAAAGTACATTGTATACACGCATGAAACTGGCGAAGAACGATAAAAGCTATTCTTCAAAATTGTAAAATTAAAGAGAGAAGCAAAGAAAAATTTGTATGCAGATAGCTTGGCCTTGTCCAGTTGCTGGAATATCCCTTGAGAATGGAGTGGGGGGGGGGTGTATAGGGAGAGACTAAGAACATGGGCATTGTGTTTGACCAGGAGCACGGAGCTGGCATCCATTTGGTTTCTTGGCTCCTGGTTGGGAAAGGGGTGACATGGAAAGGGAGGAAGCAGGAAACCTAGGGAAGCCACCTCAGTGCCTTAACTACCTGCGCCCACAGTTACTGAGTCCTCCGAGAACGTGCTCTTGTGAGAATGGCATTAATGCAGTTGTGAGGGCAGAAACTCCCATGACTCATACACCTCCTCAGGGCCCTACCTCCTCAGGGCCCTCCCTCCCTCCAGCACTTACACTGGTGACAACTTCCAGCACATTCCAGCCAGAGCATAGATAGCAAGGAGCTGCCTTTACTCTACCCGCTAATTAAAACTGAATATTGGGATTTACCTCTTGCCTTTAAAAAAAATGTAGCTTTCAGGTTTTTTTGTTTGTTTGTTTTTTGTCTCCTTGTGGAGCTCCTGTCCACCCCAGGTCTTTCTATCTCCCCTTTCTTCCATAAGATTACCTGCACTCTGCCCAAAGTTTGGTTGTGAGTCTTAGCATCTGCTTCAATACCCTGATGGGTAGAGTCTTTCTGAGTCCCTCTGTGGTAGGCTCCTGTGCTGTTCCCTGTCTTCTCCTATTTCCAACGTCTATCCTGTTTGCCCTTCTTAATGAGGTTTAAGTCTCTTTCCTAGGGTCCTCCTTGTTGTTTAGCTTCTTTAGGACTATAGATTTTAGTATGTTTATCCTATATTATATGCCTAATATCCACTTATAAGTGAGCATACACCATGTTTGTCTTTCTGGTTCTGGATTACCTCATCAGGATGATCTTTTCTAGCTCCATCTATTTGCCTACAAATTTCATGATTTCCTCCTTTTAAATCTGGGCCCAGGGAGCCTGCAGAAACCAATACTCCAACCAAGGACCATCATTGAGAGGAGATAGACCGCCTGCTCAGATAAAGCCCATAGACTTCTCAGTTTCCAAATGGGTTTCCTAGTAAGGGGAGCACGGACCATCTCTGACATGAACTCTGTGGCCTGAGTCTTTGATCATCTCCCTCTGGTGGGGGGTGGGGGTATGCAGCCTTGCCAGGCCATAGAAGAGGATGATACAGCCAGTCCTGATGAGACCTGATAGGCTTGGGTCAGAAGGAAAGGGAGGAGGACCTCCCCTATCAGTGCACTGGGGAAGGGGCATGGGAGAAGAGGGAGAGTGGGTGGAAATAGGAGGAGAGGAGGGAGGGGAATACAGGCAGGATACAAAGTGAATAAATTGTAATAAATAATAAATTAATTAAATAAGCAAATGTAGCTTTCCTTCTTCCTTTTATGAAACCTACTTTCTCTGTTTATTATTACGTTTTTAAAGTCCAGCAATTACATCTGGGGAGATGGCTCAGCTGGGAAGTGCCTGCATGAATGCATGAGGATCTGAGTTCAGGTTTCCAGCACCCCCACACATCCGACACCAGGCCTGTGTCTATAATACCCAGCAGCACTGGGAGGCAGGGACAGAAGGGTCCCTGTAATGTCAGCTCCAGGTTTAGTGAATAACCCTGGATGATAGAGGGGGACACCCAGTGCTGAGCTATGACATCCACAAAAGTGTGCGTGTACACACACATACAAGCATACACAAACTCACACACACTATAACAAGACAACATACATAAGCTATCAACTAGCCTTGAAATTACCATTTAAAAATTTAAACCTATCTGTTGAAAAGAATTTGTAATCCATTTTACACGAATTTCTACTCATATTAAATACAGATCAAGTTGTTTACCTTCGCATTGTCTAGGAAGGAGTAACTTGCTGAGTAAGTTACTCGCAGTTTCACTAACCAATTTAACATCCTAAGAGAAAATAATATTCAAGCACTCTCAATTAGAAGTGTCACTGGCATAAAAGTAATCATTTAATGTTTACTTATTAATAAGAGATTTTTTGAAATTTCTCTGGGAACATTAAATGTTGTTAAAGTATATGAAGGAGGCTGGGAAAAGAGGCCTTGAGGGCACTGGCTGCTCTTCCAGACAAACCAGGTTCTATTCCCAGCACCTATCTGGTGGCTCACAGCCATTGCCAACTCTAGTTCCAGCGGTCTCCGTGCCCCCTCCTGACCTCCTCAGACACCCAGCATACATGTGGTATACATAAAGATGTGCAGACAAAACACTCGTATATGTAGACTAGAGTAAACTTTATAAAATATGTTAAGAACTTGAAAGTAGTGACAATCAACTTTTCTATAGATTAGGAGGAATTTACATATTATTCTAATTAAGCTATTTTTAGGAACTGTTGCTTCATATTGTCATTTAATCTTATATAATCTTATATTCAGTTTTCACAGATTGGGGAAGTTTTTTTTTTTTTTTTTTTTTTTTTTTAAAGAAGTCCACTTAAGTTGCATTGAAAGGATTTCCCAGCCTTATTAGATTTCTAATAGAAGTCTACGAGCACTCTAAAGAATTAGTAGGACTCAGAGGGTGCCAGGTGCTCAGTGTACACTGACACTCAGATTGCACGAATCTGTCAACATTTAATGCAAGTTATCTGTTAGTGCTGTCACTGTCACCAAAAATGATGGTTAAATTGCCACACAGGAAAAAAACAACTTACAGCCAGCACAGTGCACATTAAACAAGTTACATAATATATACAAACATCTATCAGCAGTGTCAGGCATAAGGCAAACATTGCACTCCCAGAGAGTTAGGGGCCTTCTGCTGGAGTACATAAGGCAAGGCTGTGTGTGAGATATACTATTTACAGGGCGCAGTGGGTGAAGATCTGAGCTACTTAAATCGTATACGCTAACGTGTGAAGACATTGTTCTTTAATAAGATGTTGTCCCTGAAGACAAAAACCATCTCAATGAAAAGGAAAGAAAGAGGAAATGGGATAAGAATTCCAGGAAGTAGTTGAAATAATTTCATGACACACAGTGGCTTTATTTATTACTGTTCCACAGAGAGGGAGGCTTATCATCCCTTGGATCCTTTAATGCTGAGCCTCCTGTTAGTTCTCTTGCCTCTACGTACGGAGCGTTTGGGGGTGAAAAAGGAAGCCAATCACAGCGGCAGTGACCCCAGGCCTGTGGCTAGGTCCTAGATGTCTCAGTCCATTCAGGAAGTCTGTCCTTGACCAGAGACACTGGGCCCTTGTAGCTACTCGGGGAATGTTCTTGAGAGAAGTTGTCTTCAGAAGACAACATCCGATTCACGAAATTTTGTTTTTGCTTTCATGCAAATGTGACATTTGCAAGGGCTCGTGTTACTTCATTTCTTTACTTCCTGGGAAGAAACTGAGCCACATTTGGACCTTACTCTAGAGGGGATGTGTCTTTGGGACACTTGGGCTCTTTGGTAATGAACTAGTGGCCAGCAAACAAGCTGCTTGAAGAGGAGGCAAAAGCAAGGAGAGGGAGAATCTCAGGCCCAGCTCAGGTCCTGCTCTCAATAGACTCCCGGGCTCTCTCCAACGAAGCCCCTAGGCTCTGCCCTCCCCTGACCCAGCCTGGTTGTAGACCCTTACACCAGGCCCTAGTATACTCTGTCTGGTTCCACAGGCTCTGCTGTAGTCCTACCTTCCAGCACACTTCCAAGATTCCTTTCTGATCCTGCTTTTAATAGACTTTGCAGGCCCTGCCCTGACTCTGCATTCTAATAGGCCAGAGGTACCCATTGAATCTGTCGCACCATGGACTCCCCAGGCTACTCCTGACCATTCTTGCTTCTAGGCTCACAGAAGCACTTAAATCTGTACTGCACTGCTTTGGGCTTCTCTACAAGCATTCATTACTGAGGTGCCTGCCTCCCAGCATTCCAGTCTGGGGGTTCTCAGGGCACTAAGACAGCCTTTGGCAAATTCTCACATTTTACCACTTGCTATTGACAACAGCTGCGAGAGCTCATTTTGGCAAAGATCCTCATGTCTTTGGGCAATATACCAGAAAAAGACTTTTAAAAATAGCATTTTATACTAACACTCCCGAACTTGACATACCTAGATATGATTTTGGTTTGATTGCTCTACTGATGGATCTATAAAAGATGTCCCATTGACAGAGGCTAGGCTCAATAACAGGTTGCTATGAACAGTAAACATTTGCTCAGGGCAAGACTGCACTAGGCTGAGCCCTTTAAAACCAGGAGAAAGGTTCTGCCCAATGGTCACTCAGATCAAGCCCGTGGTGGGGCCACATTCCTACCTTTATATCCTGTGGGTTGATCTCAGGATTTGTTTGACATTGGAGAGGTCCCAGAGTTTGAAGATGGAAAATATAAAGGAGAAACTCATCCCGTGCAGAAAATGGCCAGCCAACTTCAAGAATGGTGTCACTGATGGTGCTGGGTCCAATATTGTGCAGCTGTAAGAAGGTGACACATCAGGGAATGACACATCAAGTCGACACAGTCCAACCCTGCCTACCATGTATCTGTATTGAAAGGCATGTGTCATTAGCTTTAACCATGGCAGTAGAACAGAAAATCTACCTGGTCAGGAGGTAGATGCTCTGAAATCACAGTATGCAGCTATTCAGAGAGGGCTCAGGTTTTGAAAGTCACAGTATGGGTTTCCCAAAGAACAAACATCCAAACAAACAAAATATCCTTTGTTGTTTTTAGTGTAGAGAGGCCCACTGTGTGCTCAGTCTGTACCCACTGTGTGCAACCACTGCTATGCTTGCCTTGACCTCACGTAAACTTAATGGTAGCACCAGAAATGCAATTTTAATTATATGCTTCCAAACTGTAGCCATCCTTTCTTTACATTGGAATTTGCCTCCTCCTGCCTGACTTCTGACTTGTCAATGGCAACCATATGTGATGCACTCTCTTTCACCCTCTGGGAAAATGGCCATCCATCAAGAGCCAGAGACGCAGTCCTCTGTGAGTGCATGTCTCAAAGCGAGGTTCCTCGAGCAAGCTGACTAGCTGCATTAGCAAATACCGGGGAAAGGAAAGCCACATCTCATGAAGATGGACATTTTAAACACACGAATTATACTCAGAGGACGCAGACCACATCCCCAAACACTAAGCACATTGTAAGGTATGTGAGTTTACAGATTCTTTCCAAGATTAGTAGAGATCTTTGTCCCCCTCAGTTCTGACAATTATCATAATCTATATAAAGCAACTCAATTTTTGCCTTTGTTGTTTGACAGCCTGTTTAATTCACATCATTAAAAGAATATGGCACCGACTGACAGCATATTATGAGATGAGATTGGTGTTTAAGAGATAGTCAGTGATTTTTTTTTTCTTGCCATCCTGGTGACTACTTTAAACTTTTATGATGTTTATGCTAATCCTAGAAGCAAAGCTGCACATAAATGATTGAATCTGAACAATTCCCCCAAACTTTGTAGTTTTTACTACTCCTGAGAGGACGTTTGCCCACACAGTATAATAAATGATTCAACAGCTTGGCTTGTTTCCCTGTGAAGTTCTTGACCTGAGTTATGGTGGGACAGGGCTGTGCTTTTGTTATCAGAAGAGCTTAAGCTTGGACCAGGGCTTCTGAATATACAGAAGAAGAACACTTTCGTGCCAATACAACTTAGGAGTTGTCAATTCTTCCTCATAGATGAATAGTTCAAGTTTGCGAATGTCTTCATTGCTAACCCAGAGATGCTTTTCATTGCTTTTTGAGATAGTTAAGACTATTTGTCAACTTGACAGAAGCTAGATTCACTGGAGACATGAGTCTCTGGGCCTGTGGGGAATTATATTTATCTTGTATTGGCATGGGCAGGCTCCTCTTTAACTGTAGAAGGGGCTGTTCACCCCAGGATGTTTCAAATGAAGATGATCTGAGCATGCACGCATCTATTTCTCTCTGACTCCTGAATGCAGATGCAGCGTGCCCAATGCTGTTACTGTCACTATGCTTGCTGCTATGTCTTTCCTGCCCCACTGAACTGTGTTCCTCTAAAACTATAAGCTCAAATAAACTGTCTTCCATTGAGTCACTGTTGTTAGTGCATGTTATTACAGCCACGAAAAAGTAACAGCTACATTCTTGTCACTTGAGATGAAAGCCGTGTTCAGAAATAAAGTGACTCCACATGACAGCCTGCTGTTCCCATCCATCAGTGTCTCCCTCAGCCAACATCAGAGCAGCTTCTGCCTGCAGTAGATGGGAACAAACACAGAGGCCCACAGCCAGACAATGTGCAGAGAGAGAGGGACCTTGAACTCTCTGTCCTAGATGGGATGTTTCTCTCCATCTGTTCCCTTCCCCTCAAGGCTCAGAGAACTCTGCAGAAGAGGCCACAGGAGGGTTAGTTATAAGAGCCAAGGGGAATGGAGAACACCAAGGAAACAAGGGCTTCCAAACACAACAGGATTGACACACACAGATGAACTCACAGAGACTGTGCCAGTGCTGAGAGAGAAAGTAGACACAAGCCCCCATCCATAACCCAGAAGCTCTCTCTAATAGAAAACTACTTGCAAATTAAAGAGTTTCTTCCCGGGCAGCCTAGCTGGGTATAGAAACACACTCCCAGCAGTGGATGGGTAACACAAAATGAACTCAGTGGTATTTTGATGGTCAGCTTCTAATGCTTCGTTAGGGCTTGTTGTTGTTGTTGATTTGTTTGTTTCCCTTAAAAGTCCTTTTGTATATATTATGGTTTCTGGTTTTGTGTTTCCTGGCTTTTCTGCATGTGCAAAATTTTATGTCTCTGCACCTGTATGTGTTTCTTGAGCTTTTTCTTTGGTGCTTTTTCTTTTATTTATTTGTTTTTTAAATCTAATTTTTTCACTCATTACATGCCTGTTTGTATTGTAATGAGAGAGAAATGGCCTGTGGAGAAATGGAGATGAACTGAGAGGAGCTGGTGGGGGAGCCAGAACTAGCATGCTGTATTAAAACATCTCTTTTCAGTAAAAGAAAAGAAAAGGAAGTCATACTCTGAACAACGAATAAAGAGAGACTGAATGGAAAAGGATCTCAATCAGAAAGCTCCTTGGAACTTTATTTTCTGAAATTCCATGCTGGGTCCCCTGAAAATCAATTACTACTTGGCTGGTGAAATTAGCTTTAAAGAAAACAAACAAACAAACAAACAAACAAGTAACTGCTAAATTAAGCCTCTATCATATGTCTATTTTTCATTAAAATTTTAAATGTTTTAGGTAACATGTCAATAAATCAACACATTGACTTTGTGTGGGAAAAGACCATTGGGCTCTTTCTGTGGGCTGCTGTTTGCCTCGGAAGATAGTTTACTAAACTTTGCAGTATTTCAGATCTCAGAGTAAACGATTCATTTCTGATTATAATTACACAAATAAAAAGTAAAGTTATTCTATCGTGTTCTTGCCTCATAAATTATATCTATATTTTGGTACAGTAATGAATGGTTCATAAGGTATTCTAGTAGTACCTTATGCATAATGACCATTAACTTATATTTAGGTAAGTTTAAGGTATCTGAAAATGTGAGAAGAAAAGGAAGAAATACAAGGGACTTGGCTTTTTTTTTTTTTATAAATACAAAGGCTGTCCAGATATTAAGTGGAGAACAAATAAAAGTATGTTTAAAAGCTCACTTAATCAGATGAGCTGTTTCTTGCCAGGTAATATATCTTACCACTGAGTGTCCCTGTCCATGGTTATTTAACAGGGCACCCATCGGCAGCCACCGCAAAATGGTAGCGTCGTAGCACAAGTTGCACAGCTTGGACCTTAGACTTGGACATGAGGGTCTATGAAGTCCTTATCAGTAAAGAGTATATGACTAGAACCTCAAAGCATGTAATATAAGAAATAAGCACCTTGGGCTGAAGAGATGACTCAGCATTTAAGAGCACTGGCTGCTCTTGCAGAGGATTTGAGTTCAGTTTCCAGCACCCACGAGGCAGTTTACAACCATCTGTAACTCCAGGTCCTGAGGAGCAGATGCCACCCTCTGGCCTCCACGGGCACCACACACACATAAGGTGCACAAACATATACGAAGGTAAGACTCTCAAACACGTAAATTAATAAAATAATAATTAAAAAAGAAGTAGCTACCTCGTAAATGTGCTCAACCAAAGGACCAACTTCCTCCTCTCTGTGGGGCTGCTCTTCCGGTTCCCAGTTGTGGATGGGCAGAACAATCTGCGGAGGGTGGGACACTCTGGAATATGGAATATTAGTTGATTACTGATGAGGGCCCGCTGAGGATGTCTTTGTTGCATATTACTATATAGTCACACTGGCTTCGGAGGAAGACAGTGCTCTGCAGTTACCTGAAGACACATCTGATGCACGGTAAGACGCCGACAGCAAGGCTCAATAAAATGACCGAGGAATGCTGGCGACTCAGCAGCACTCCACATTCTTCTGTATAGTCTATAGTACAGTCACTGTTTTACAGTCTTGCCTAACTTGGACACTAGGGGGCAGAGTAGAGACCATTCTTGAATGGACATGAAGGAGAGCGTACACATACACACGTGTACATTCATAAAGCCTGCTATCTATTCTTTGTAAGTATGCGTGTGTATTTCTGTGCATAGAGGTTCTATAGTCCCTGCTTTAACCCCAAATAAGAAATAGGATGTGTGTCTGTCTGTATGTGTGTGCGGTGTGTGTTGGTATGTAAGTATATCAAGGCTCCTGTGTGATGTATTCAATATCCAGTTGGGAAGAAATAGCTTTTGTTTAAAAATGCCTGCATAGAGCAGTGGCTGCTTTGTATACAGTCCTCGAGATTCCTTTGCTTCCTGTTACTGAAGGGACCAAAGCCAAACTCGGAGCCAGATGGGGTCAAGTATGAACCCAGGCAAAGTTTGCTTTACAGAAAACTCAAGGGACAAGAGAGGTGCTCAGTGTCGCCCTCTTCTAAGTATGAAATTAGCCTGACATTCGCAGTGTACACATAGATATTCTTGATGAGTGAGATTCAGCTTGTGGTGTTATGTACGCGTGTGTGGCGCGAGCATGTATGCACACGCATTCATATGTACGCCTCTCTCCTGGAGGACGTGGAGGCCAGAGCCTGATGCTGAGATGCTGTCCTCAGTTGCTCCTCCACTTGAGCATATTTGAGACGGGAGAGCTCACTGAACTTTGCATCCACTGCTTTGGCTTTGTCGGGCTGACCATGCAGTGAGCCCCTGGAATCCTCCACCCCACACCCCGTCTCTGCCATTCGGTGCTGGGATTACAGGAGTTTGCACAGTGAGAATCCAGGCTCATGTCCTCAGCAAGCACCTTACCCTGAGCCACTGCCCAGCCCCCAGAGTAGAATGCCGAAAGACACGGCTTTCTAGATTTTTATTGGGAAAGGGTATCTTTAAAAGAAGCCTTTGATTTTTAGCTAAAATCAGTCTCAACAGAATGCATCCCTATGTGGGTCTAAAAGGCTACTTTAAGAATATTCAGTAATTGCTGAAGCCTCTAGCAACTCCAAACATTTTTTTTTCTTCCAGACTGTTCCATCTATTAATAGTCCATTCTGCTTTATTGTTGAATAATAGTGTATGGTATGGTTTGTTTATCATTGACTCACTGAAAAACCATTTGAGTTGTTTATAGTTGGTGGCTATTACAAATGAGTTTCTATAAACATTTATATAGAAGTTTCTGTGTAGATTTAAACTTTAATTTTTCTGGGAATAATTTTTTTTCTGGGATAAAGAAAAAGAGTTTTGATGAGTAGAAGTGTGTTTGCTGTCAGGAACTTTAAAACAAAATATTTGGTTACATGATGTGAACCAAAATATTTGGTTATATGATGTGATATTTAAAAAATAATAGGACTTGTTTTTAATTTCTCTTAATCCACAAAAGCAAAGAACATCATTTATTTTCTTGAATGATGCTAACCCTACCTGCTATGGACAGTATACTATATAGGCCTTCATTATTCATGATTTTTCTCTCTTTTCAAATTTATTTCTTTTATTATTTCTTTTGCTTGCTTTCTTTCTTTTCTTTTTCTTTTTTTTTTTTTTTTGGTATGTGTGTTGGTTTAAATGAAAATGGCCCCCATACGCTCACAGGAGGTGGCACTATTAGTAAGTGTGGCCTTGTTGGAGGAAATGTGTCACTAGGGGTGGGCTTTGAGATTTCAGATGATCAAGCCAGGTCCAGTGCCTCTCTCTCTTCCTGCCTCCTGCCAATCTGGATGTAGAACTCTTGGCTACTTTTCCAGAACTCTGCCTGCCTGCCTGCGGCCATACTTCCCACCATGATAACAATGGACTAAACTTCAACTGTAAGCCAGCCCCAATTATATACTTTTCTTTAGTAGCATTGTCATGGTGTCTCCTTATGTCAATAGTAACCCTAAGACTGTGTGTGCTTGTGTGTGCATCTGTGTCTGTGTATGTGTGTTTGCGATGGCATCTTGTGTGAGTGAGTACTTTCCTTCTACCATTTTGGCTTGCATTCGAGTATAATGCCTGGGTCCTCAGACTTGGCAGCAAGTGTAGTACATGGTGCACCTTCTTCTGAGCCCTGCTTCCTCTCTTGACCTCCTATTCCACTGGATTATTTTTAAAAGGCTGTATTTCAGTAATTCATGAACTCTATATAAGATGACTAAGTTTATCTAGTACAGACCTGTGTTAAATCATCCTTTGTCCTAATGAACTGTGTGCCAATCAGCTCAAAGACAATGTTGATGCCATGTCGTACCGAATCAAGTGGAACTGTTATAAGTACTTTTACCACTCAAGACACTCTACTTAAGACTATTTTTAAACTATAAAACAACAACAAATAAAAGTGGGCTTAACATAGTTAAAGTAGCTAAGAATAAACAGCATTAACCAGAAGAAAATAAGATTTTCCTAGAGGCTGAACATAAAAGATCTTCAACATAGAAACTACTTGTTCCTTAAAGTATTAAACACTGGAATCACTGTTTTAGAAGCATCATCAGAGGAAAGAGTTTAGCTATGTGATCTGGCCAAAAAGAACTTCAACACCGTCAGAGAATAAACTGTGGCCAACTGTTGGACATTAACGTAGCAATTAAAACAACTGCATCTACATGAGAAACCAGTTTTAATTAGTCGTTTGGACTGCTGGCAACCATGAATAGAAATTTCCCTTTTTACTGTAACCGATGGCAGAAATACATGTGGAAGCATCAATCCCACAGGATGAATGTATAAGAATGAAGGCAATTCAAGGGGTCCTGCAGAGACCAACCAAGGACTTTGCATGGAGAGGACCTAGACCACCTGCATAGATGTGGCTGATTGGCAGCTCAGTCTCCATATGGATCTCTGAGTGAGGGGAGAAGGGGCTGCCTCTGTCATGAACTCAGTTGACCACTGTTTGATGCAGTCTTGCCAGGCTTAGGACGAAGCAGATCCAGGAAGTCCTGATGAGACTTAACAAGCTATGGGCAGATGGCAATAGTGGAGAGCTCCCCCTTTCAGTGAACTAGGGGAAGGGGATAGGGAGGGGGAAGAGGGAGGAAGGTGGGACTGGGGCAGTTGAGGGAGGAGGCTTCAACCAGGGTATATAATGAATAAATTGTGAAGAAAAATTTAAAATTAAAAGAAAGAGTGAAAAAAAAAAGAAGGAAGGCAATTGCAGCCAGCCTTCACTGCCTTGGCATCACTTATACATTATTGAATATGGAAAACTTCTGCAATTTAAATTTATTTACAAAGCAATTTAAATATAAACTTAAAAACAGTTCATATATATGTTGTTCTTGTTATTTTTATTTATTATTATTATTGGTTTTATGAGATAAGGTTTCTCTGTATAGGCCTGGCTGCCCTAGAACTTTATCTGCAGCTCAGGCTGGCTTTGAACTCAGAGATCCATCTGCCTCTGCCTCCCAAGTGCTGGGATTAAACCATAGTACTATGCTCAGCTTGCTTCGTATAGTTTCTGGTTAGCAAAACTAAAATAAACTACAGGGCATTTGGTGGCACAGATCTGTAATACCGGCTACTCACAGGTCTGTAACTAGCTTCTCAAGAGACTGGGGCAGCAGAATTGAAAGTTCAAAGGTTACAGAGCAAGCTCAATGTGGGTTATAGAGTAAGTCTGAGGCCCACCTTAGAAACTTGGAGAATTCTGCCTCAAAAGGAAAAGTAGAAAGAATTTTAAGGAGATAGCTGTATGACATAACTTAGCATGTCTAAGTTATGTCTAAGGTCCTAGGTTTAATGTGTAGCACTGTGAAAAACCAAACCAAACACATCAAACCCAACCCAAATAAACAAACAATGGCAACACTCTAAGATAAATATAGAGGGTGAGACAGAGTTCATGAATACTATTTTTGAAAAGAAAAGACAGTAAAAATTAATGCTGTATTTTCTTCTCTGGACTTTTAAAATAGAAGCTCTTTTCTTTTAGAAAAAGACAAGGGAATGAAATTGAAACTCAACAAGAATAAAACAATACTCCACATCACTATACTTCAAACAGGTCACTTCCCTTTAGTCAGATGAATCAAAGGAAAAATCATAAAGCAAGTTAGAAAATATTTAAACTGAGTTATAAGAAACCCAATATAGCAACAGTTTAAAATGTTGCTGAAGTCATTTTTTTTCACGCTTGTATGTGTGTGTATTTGTGTTGTATACTTGTGTATGTGTTCCTGTGTGTGTCTCTTCCTGTGTGTGTATATATGTATGTGGATCTCAGTGGAAACGTTAGGAGTCTTCCTCTCTCTATCTCCAGTGTAGTTTTTGAGTCAGGTCTCTGACTGAAACCAGAGCTGCAAAAGACTGACTGGCCACCAAGCCCCAGTTTCTGCCTCCACATTGCTAAGACTACAGTGATGCACACACACTTGCTTGTTAGAGGATGTAGTAAGGACTGGATCTTAAGTTGTCATTCTGTCATCATGCTTGCACTGCAAACCCTTTATTGACTGAGCCATCTCCTAGCCCTTGATAAATTCATTATTAAAGAAAAATATATGGTGCTAATATTTCTACAGGAAAAAAGAAAACCTCCAAAGATAGAATTTCTAGGGAGAGAATTTCTAGAGAGAATTTCTAGAGAGAGAGAGAGAGAGTAGAGAGCAGAGGGGGGAGAGAGGATAGAGAGAAGGGGAAAGAGAAGAAAGAGAGAGAAAGACAGAGAATATCAAACTCACGAGGAAAAAACAGTATAGAATCATAAAACAGACAAAAAGGAAAAGAAACAGAAAGA